TTTTTAAAATTTTTATTTTAGGAAAATCATTAAAAATAAATTAAATAAATTAAATTAAATTAAGAAATATCAAATAATTCTAATTTAATAATAATAAATAAAATAAATAAATTTAAAAAAATCTTGGAACGACTCGGCTTGAGAGATAAAAGCAACTCAAATGTGCAGCTCGATAGGAAACGACTGGTTTGGTTCGGCTCGATTGAAACTCAAACGGAGAAACAGGTCGTTGGTTCGGGTCGCGCTACGGATTGGGTCACCCGTTTGAAAACAAGAGGATCCTCTAAGTTTACTAACGCCAAAACATCATCGTTTTAGCAAGGTATATAAGGCTAAAAACTTAGGCTTTCAATAGATGCGTCTTTCTTCTTCTAACTCTTCCTTTCTTTTTCTCCTATTTCTCTCTAAACAGAACTCAGATTCCTGTTGAATATTCTACCAAAATCTGAAAAACACGTCGAAAACTGGGTTTTTCCTCGAAATCTGAAAAATTGCTCGGAATATGGAATTTCCAAAATTTCCCAAAAAAAAAGCCAAAAATTCGAAAAAAATTTCTTAAAAATTCTAAATTGCCTCTAAACACTATTTTTTCTTATGTTTTCTCCCTTTTTTTTTTCATGTATATTTTCTGTGTCTCCTAGTAAGCTTGGTTAGGATCTGTATTTATAAGACAGAATCCAAAGTCGAATGGGAATCCCAACTCCTCTGGACTTTTAGTCTCATCCAACCTTTCCCAATTCAATCCAAACTCCTTAACTCAATTTTACACTAATTCATCTACCTTTTTTTTGTTTTTTCATTTTTATTTTTTAATTAATCAAAAGATAAACCTCGGACATGTTAGGTGGCCAGTACATATGATTCTTTTAGATTCCATAAAGAATATGACTTAAAGTTTTGATTGAAGGCATAGCAATGTGACTAACCAACCATATACATCATTTCCAAAATTCTAAAAATATTAAAATTAAATATATTTTTGAATAAAATGTTAAAATTTGAAAATCACTCAAAAACTTTCAAAAAGTGAAATTTAAAAAAACTAAAATATTGAAAATTTTAAATATAATATTTTTAAAAAATCTAAAAATTTCTTAAAAATTCAAAATATTGAATTCTAAAAAAATAAAATTAGATTTTATAAAATTCAAAAATATGATCTTTAAAAAATAAAATATTTTTAAAAATATTAAGTTTAATATTTAAAATATGAAAAAAAATTTAATTCAAAATATTGATTGCTTTTCGGAGTAAAAGTTAAGAATGTGATCATATATACATGTCAAAGTCAATCTCAACCTTTCTAAGCAACAAGTTGCCGATAAGTCACATGTGGCCACAATTATAGCGTATTGTTAGGGTTAGAAAACTTTGTGTTTGGTCTTATAAAGTGACAAATTGGAATGCTCCTTACTTTGGGTCTTTAATCATTTTATAGTTAATTCCATAGCTTGTGTCATTGAACTGTATTTTGATCATTTGTGAAATTGATATGGAAAAGCAATTGAAAGTCATTATATTTTTCATCCATTTTCAAATTGGAAAGTGGTAATCCTAATCCCATGTTAGAAAAGAAGATTTCACTTTCCACATTGGAAAGGACTTTGGCTGAATGCATGAGAGTACTGGAGAATGAGGACTGAGGTGTCTATAATTTCACATTTATTTATTTTTTCAAATATGCTAACTTTTCATTTATTTAAAGAAGCAGCAAATCCGTCACAAGTAAAGTGTAAAATTATCAATAATCATAGGAAGATGAAAATTATGATAAATTTTTTATGAAAGAATGTGTGCTTAACAACTTTTTTAATGAGTGTGCACATAAACAAATGTTTCCCTTTTTTATTTAGAGAAAATAACTTTTATTTCCCTTCATCAAGAAGGTTTGATATCACTGCTATGATTTGCTAAATCTTTTTTCTTTTTAGAGATTCATAAAAACTGAATAAAGCAGTTTCTGGCTGTGAGATTCCAACATTATAAATGGAAAATCCCAAGTTGAATTACCAAGATTCTTGATAGATTTAAATTATAACTTGAATGACTTACCATATTACAAATATTTTTTAAGCAAATTAAATTATTTAAACTTTATAAGTACATTATTTAATTTTATTCTGAGAGTAAATCATTTTTCTTGAATCTCAAATAACTTAAAAGTACTAATGGACAAGCCAAATCTCACAGCCTATCCTCAAGCATACGGTAACATTTGTTATAAAAATATATTTTGGTGATGAAAATTTGTTTTCATTCACAATTGCCTACATAAAAAGTATTACTCTTTTGCTAATTAATTAACTAATTAACTATATATGAAAAGTTTCTTTCGTATACTTGAATATTAGTATATATAGTACATATGAAAAGTTTGAAACTAACTAATAACTAATTAGTATGATAAATCTGAAACTAACTAATTAACTATATATGAAAAGTTTCTTTCGCATACTTGAATATTAGGGTAGACAGTATATATGAGCTCAGCTGTGGATATTCATTTTCCTTGAATGGTTCTACCAGATTACGGAGTTGACAAATGTGACATTGTAACTGCATTTGGTCATTTTGATATTGCTGTTGAGGATGTAAGTTTGAACTTTGGCTGCCAAAAATTGTATTAACTTTTTTCCCATTTTTAAGAAGATGATAGACTGTTATGTATCTTAGAACTGCTAGGTTCTGACTGAATGCTTATATGCTCCACTAATTAGGTTGCCAAGACTGTGTAACTTGTAAAGGCCAAGGGTGGAAAAGTAACTAGAGAACCTGGTCCAGTCAAAGGTGGTACTACTGTAATTGCATTTGTTGAGGATCCTGATGGTTACAAGTTTGAACTGATTGAAAGGGGGTTTCCTCCTGAACCTTTGTGTTAAGTAATTCTCTCTTTTACATGATCATACCTCTTTTTGGGTGGGTGGGGGATGGGGGTTAATATGTTTTAAGTCATGTCGTTAGTCTTAGTCTCTCCTTTTGTTGCAGGCATTTGGCATGGAGCTTCTTCACACGCGAGATAGTCCACGGTTCAAGGTAAATCTTATTTGTATATTGTTTAGAAGGCAAATGCAAAAGGTTCTATGGAAATTGATGTTTTCAACAATTAATTGAGGTCTATTACAACTAAAGTAATGTGCTATGAAAATTGTTGTCATTACGTTTGGTAATAAACATTGTACCTCTTTTTAATTGTACCGTTCATAGTCTAAATGCAAAATTTTATATGTCAATTGATAGTTTGAAAATCAATTTAGGCTTCTTACCAAACCATTAATTATGAACACTGTTTGCATGACATTTTATAATATATTGTAGCTTAATTTGATTATTATGAATTGTTTTGTCAAGTTCAATTATTTTGTTTCCTCTAAAATACAGATCGTTTGTTGGTTTCTGTGAAATCAACTGTTTGATATGGTTTTTTTTTTTATTATTCAATTAAGTTAATCTCAAGTAGAGAATTGGCCTGCTCTTTTTATGTTTAATTTGTTACATTCAATTGACTGGAACTAAATAAGAAATTTGTTAATACGTTAAAAGAATTATAGTAGAACTGGCATAACCTATATAGATTGGATGGCTAAATCGATTTTCCTGGTAGATCTTAACCATAAGATATGAATATACCAGATTTCTTTATTCCTCTTTCTCATATATTATTCCATGCTGGCCATGTCATTCCTGTATCATTTTGTATTTTGGGTATTTTTTTTAGGTGGTTGTGTTAACGGATGGGGCGATGTATAGGCGGCGGTTGGTTGGGGTCGAGCTTGGTGCTGGTTTTGGGCAGAGGTAAGGGCGTTGGTGATTGTGTGGGGCTCAAGTTGCTAGGTTCCTCGGTGGTGATGGGGGCTGAAGGGGTGCGTCGGTGTCGTGTCCAGGGTCCCAAGATGGTGATGGGGGCTGAGGCTTGGCAATGCTGAAGGTGTGCACGCAAGGGTTAGTGGAGGGTTGGGACTGGTGCCCGATTCTAGCTGGATACCCGTGCCAGGGCTTTGGTGGGTATGTTGGGTTTGGGCTGGGTTGGTGAAGTTTCTGGTGGGGTGGAGCTGGGGCTAGGTGAAAGAAACAGGGTTGGAGCCGAGGCCTTGGCAAGGGTCGAATGGGGTTTCGTCGGGGCTGGAAATCCATCTCTGGTCAAAGGGCTGGAGCTTTTAAGAGCTTCAAGGGGAGCAGGTAGTTAGGCAGGGCATGGAGGGTAGGTGGTTTATTGGTGGCATGCGTAGCATAATTGTCTCTCTTTTAAAAAAATAATAATAATAATAATTAATATTTTATTTAATATTTAATTATAAAACAATAATAAAAATAAAACAGTAGGCCTAACCCAAAAATAATGAATTTGAGCTTTGGGTTCAAGAAATAGAAATCAGATTTCAACCCAAAAATTTAAGCCCTTAAATTTATATTATTAAACTAAAAATTTGATTAATCGAATCTAGACAAATTTGATGTTTACAAATATATTAGTTTTATTTTATAATTCAAATAACTTTACATAATTTATATTATAAAAATTGATTTATTATCAATAAATATATTTTAAATTTAATAACTTAATTATATTTATTATGAAGTAAATAAAATGTTACTAATATTTTATATACAAATTATTATCTTTAAATAACATTAAAATTATTAATTTATATAACTATTATGATATGAATTGTTATTGTAATATTTTTAAATAAAATAATATTTAATTTTTAATAATATCAAATACAATGAGATTTAATTACTAAAAATTAATATTTTTTAATTAAATAAAATGATTTCAAATCACGAGTGATAATATCACTTTAATAATAAAATCATTTCGATGATTAAATTATTATAATAATCTTAAAAATGACACTCGATTATGTCTAGGTTCAAATCTTGATATGAAAAATAATTATCTTATGCTATAATTCAAAATCACGTGTACTAAAAAATAATATTTAAAAAATAATACATTGTATATGAATCGTTTTATTTTAAAATAAAATACATTAATTAACCAAAGAGTACACCCAGAGTTAAACATTAAAAATGCTAATTCTTCCACCACATTTTGATCTCTAAAATAACGGAAACCAAAAGCAAGATAGCAATAGCAACCCCGTATCCAGCATTCCATCCTCTTCCCGCTCCCCCTAAATGTATCCCATAGAAGACATTTGCTATTGCAAATATGATCAAAATTCTCCCAACACAGTAATGGTACCAGTTCCAGAATTTACGCACCTTTGATTCCTTGCCTGGCCTTGCAAAAACTGCCATTACCTACAAAACAAAATCAGTACAACCACATTACTTATATATTTGTAAATCCTCTAATACGATCTTCAACTGGAATTATACCATAATATATCGCTTTATCTCATGGAACTTATAATTATACATCTTGTTCCAATTGTTCATTTTACCTGAAGTATCCAGTGTTTGATATGTATTTGATGGAGTAGAGTTATATCTTGATCAAATACATAAACATACCCGTATTGGACACATGCCCTTAACATTATTAATAAATATTCGAAAATCCTGTTTTTTTTTTTAGTTTTAATAGAGGATTCCAAAATATATATATATATATACTCACATACACACACACGAGCGTGGTTAGATATTGACTGTTGATATAAAATAAAACATAAATGATATGTGAGAGAATTACCTGTATAGCACGTTAAAATTAAATATGATATACAAAAGAAAATTACTATAGAAACAAACCTGGAGGCATCCGAGCGCAAGAATGAAGATGCCAAGACCTTTGTGGGTGGATACATCAGTTTTGAGACGATCTTCTAAAACAAATCCACATATTATACCCGATAGGCCGAGTATAAAGGCGCAGGACTGAATCACAGCGTGTGAATAAAACCAGACTGGATCCCATTGCTTGAAGTGACGAGCAACTATAGCTCCAATTATCATCAATATTCCCCAACTCAGCATATTTAGTATTCCATGGCTCCTCCTTAATCTTGATTGTGGGCTGTTCGATGCACTTGTACCTGTTCCATTTCATAAACCCAAATATTTTCCCTTTGAAATTGTTATTTTTGTATGAAGTAACATGTATAGGTTAGGTTAAAATACCAAAAAAAAAAAAAAAAACTTTTGTATTTTTTTAAATTTTCTAAATAAGTTTTTATCCTTTTATTATATATAATTAAACCCTTAAAAATTTTTTTATCCAATTAAACTTTTAAAATACTGTTTTAATCTAATTAAGTTCTTAAATTATTATTTTTGTTTAATTAAACCTTATTTGTCTAATTAATTTTAATGGTTCTTATGTACAATAAGGATTTAATTAGATATAATCGAAAGATGATAATTTATTCGAGATATTTGAGAAAGTATAGAGGGTTTTTTTTTTTTTTTCCCGTATATTAGATGCCAGTATTATTACTTAAATGATAAATTTCTTCAATTATATGTATGAAAGTGCATCTGCGTGATAAGTTGAAAGGTATAAATGTTTTTTTTTTTTTTAAATAATTGTCCCTGATAAATAAACTATTGAGCTAGGAATAAGTCCACAGGGTAGCTTTCATCGTGGCCGGTAAAACTCCTGTCATCTAAGCAGATTTTTTAAATTAATAATCAGAAACAGAAAGTTGGTTTTAAGTATTTTCTATTGTTTACCTGCAACGTAATTCAGGACGGTGGAGACTTTGTCACGGTGTTCGGCCAAGGCATAGCCTGGAGAAGATGGAATCACCCCAATCTGTCCGACAGAATATAAAACCCGTGACAGGGGCTGACTGGTATTCAACTGGAATGCCATGTATAGACGCGAGGATCGGAGAGTTATGGAGGAAGAACTGGCAACAATCGCCAGGTTCCCTTGGTCAGGCAACACTTGACGTGGTGTCTGGCCACCAAGATAATAAGGTTTTACTATTCCAGTGCCATCACTTGAGATCCAGCCAACCATAGCGCTTGACCCAACCATCAGTCCATTGCTCGAAAAACCCATTCCGACAAAGGAATTTGTATCAGGCGCCGAGAGAACAAAACTCCATACATCCGATGAGTTCTGAACATACTGCAAAACGTTTTTACATGTGAAAATTTCAAAGATCAATATGCTATTCAATTCTCCCAAATATATGATAAAAGTAACAAAAATTCCCGGACAAAGGAAAAGACCTACTCTGAGGATGAAATCATAACTGCTCCAGACAGAAAGGCAGTGGAGAGACGTTGTGTCAAAAGGCAAATCAAGGTTTAGGTTGGAACTACAGGAATCTGTCTGTTGTGAATTCACCAACCGAATTGATAACACCTGCAGGGCAAAGAAGAAGAAGAAAATGAAAATGGAAGACAGCTTCATTTTTTTTCCTCCTTTTTGCTCTTTCTGGTTTATGGAATGAATTTGGTCTACATATTGTGTTACAAATTAAAGCAGTTGATGACGATTAATTCCTTTAAATTAAATATAGTTGGAAAGAACGTGGTGCATCAAGGCATCATCTGATTATAAATTTGTGTAGAGGGATCTGATTAGGTAAGTTAAAGCAGCCTATTATTAAATTAATGAGAAAAATGTCTGTTTTTTTTTTTTTTTTCTGGTTAGGTGAGGTTTCTCTCATTTTATAAAATATCTTTCTTTTAGTTTTGAGATTCAAACCTAAGATGCTTTTTAGATTTAACAAGTGTCAAAGGCACAGTAGTTGGTACAGATATGTGTATTGTTATGGTTTGCGAATGCGAAAGGTGAGAGCATTTGAGTACCGTCCTATGCTACAAGGATATGGTCCAACTTGTTTATTAAGCTATGCTATGACTGATATTTGGATTAATCGACATAAAATTTTTGCTGATGTTTGAAAGTTAAGAAGTTGAATCAATTCATGCATATAATATCTTCTTTAACAAAATAAATATAATTAAAGATAGAGAGAACTAAGAATAGAATAAGAAATTAAAAGAAAAATAATAAATGAAAATTTATTAATAAATTGATAATTTAACGGTATTGAGCTCAATTTTAAAATTTAAAATCTTGAATTTGAATCCGAATCCGAAAGTTCTAACTTTATGGATTTGGAATACTTCTGAGTCTACATCAAATCATCCCTTCATTTCTTTTGCAAAATATATCCATCTTGGACTATTGCAAATGTTGGTATTCTTTTGCTTTAGGAAATGTGACAATTTTTTTACTAAACTTATATCAAGTCTCTAGGAAATGTTTTTACATGATCTTTTCCCTTTTAACTTCCCATAAATAGTATCGAGAGAATAATTTATCAAGTACTATATACTAATATATTGGTTGAGAATCAAGAAAATTCGAAATCAAATGGACTTGAACATATACATAGTCCATGTCCACTAGGACACTACATATATATTTTCTTTGTTCTCTTAAAAGGGGTTAATTGAAAGAATCAAAATGATAAAGAGAGCGAAATGAACTGAGGAACAAGAATGGGATAACCTCTGAGTTGAGCTTTGGACTAAAAAAGATGTATGCAAAATGTTCATTTATAGGTCTGATTCCATTTTTTTTTTTTTTTTTGATTGAGTTGATTATTTGAAAGAACTAATTATGTAGACAATGGTCAAGAAATAGATAGTGATCAGAGTTTCTTACTTGATGCATTGATATTTTGAATCATCAACAAAAGCTTTGGTCAAAGCTATATCTATATGAGACAGCTCCTCTGGCTGTTAAGATTGACATAGTCCTAAAAGCATTACATTCCAATTGCCAAGCCAACCCTGTTTCCTACTCGCACATTGATTGAATTGAAAATACCCCTCGGTTAATCTTTTAATGATGAGTTTACTTGCTGGCTCCAAGTAAGGTTCATTTACCTATAAGATGGGAGAGATGAGATTCCACCATATCACGATGTAATTTTATAATTAAATTTTTAAAAATTTATTTTTAAATTTTAAGAATCTAATTGTAAAACACAGTTATAATATGATGGAAATTCTTTCTATCATGTTATCAAATGAACCATAAATAATCTCTTCGATCAACCAATTAGATTAATTGGTATTACCATGAAGAATAGCATGTTTGTGATTAGGGATGACATCGGGTCGGGTTCGAGGCGGGTTTTGCTTGCCCCGAACCTGACTCGATTTTATGTTTTATCAAATTTGATCTGAATTTTTTTAATACTTAAATCCGATCAGATAATATATAAATCATACCCGATCCGATTCGAAATTAATAAAATATTATTTTTAAAATATAAATATTTAAAAATATAATTATATAAATATATAAATAATTAATTAAAAAATAATTTTTTAATAATGTCAGGTCGGATAAGGTTGGTTTTAGGCATGCCCGAACTCAATCCGACCCCGACTGTTACATAATTTTACCCAACCCGACCTCGATCCGAAACTCAAAATTCAAAAAAAATAAAAATTCGACCCTATAAAATTGAGTCGAGCCAAAATCCATTGGGGACGGGCTTGATTGCCGTCCCTATTTGTGACTTTGTGTATAAATAGAGAGTTGGCCTTACAATTTCCGGTGCCAATTTCATTTTGAGAGTCTTATAGCAGTATTTCTCCTTTGTTCTTAGTAACTATAAAAGCAAATTACTTATAAATAAGAAAAATTAACACAACCAAATTAAAGATGAGAAAGAGTCTTGAGCCTTGCCAAACTTTGCAAGTGGGAGGAATGATTCAAAATTATCAAAAAAAAAAAAAAGAAAAAGAAAGGAAAAGTCTACAAGGATTCATCATCATTTCATGCGCAAAATGTTCTGAGTTCCATTCATCATCCATGACAAGCCAGTTGCCACCCATTACCTGTCTCCTTGGAGAAACCTTTTTTTTTTTTTTTTTTAAATCCTTTCTTACTTTCTTCTATTCCAATTCCCCCAATGGAGTTTAGTGATTAATGACTGAAAATGCATAAGATAACAGAGTACAAAACTGGGGAACTTTTTGCCTGACGGGAAAAGGAAAAGGTATATGGATGTTTGTCAATTTGCTATCAAACCAAACAAAATTAGCGCATTTGTGGGGCTCTTTTAACTCGACAAAATCAGTTCTTTTTTTTTTTTTTAAATACATATAAAAGAGAAATCATTTGCTTGACTATTTCTTTTAAGACTTAAGTTTAAACTTCTTAACTAATTGGTGAATATTTAATCTTTGGTAATAATAAATGATAGTAACAAATAAATCATTTAAATTACATTTGCTTCTTTCTAATAATTTTCTTTTATTCCCGTTAATTTTTATTATATGTTCCCTTAGGATCTTCACATGTTTGTTAATTTTCTAACTACACATGGATTTCATTGAAAAAATTAAAAAAACAACACAAAATAAATGAAAGGAAAAAGAGTTTCAAAGTGATATTCTTTGGAATTATAGGTATTTAAGTTAGCCATTTAAACTATATTTAATCTATAATAGTAAATTTCGTATTATTAACTTATTATTATGATTAATGATGTACTTTGAATTTTCTAATCATATTTAAGTGAATAATTCGTGTCAATTTTGAATTTTAATGTGTTAGAATACTAAGGGTTTTAAAACATTTTATGTAATTAAAAATAATCAATAAATGGTTAAAACTTTTAAACAAATTATACAAAGCATAATTTTTATAATTGGAATTTCGTTTGATAATTCTCTCATCAAACTTAAGCAATGTTTGGAATTTGCGTGGTTTTAACTTTTCATGTTCATGGGGGGTAAAATCACAAACATCAAGACTCTTATGTGGGTTTTCGTAGAAATATCGACATTTTCAAGGCTTGTACGGCTAAAAGAAGCACAAAACGAAATTTCAAAAGCAAAGTAACCATTAGATTGGATTTTCCTTTTTTTTTTTTTTTTTTTTAACCCAATTAAAAAAAATTCCAAAAACACAAAAGAAAAACCGGTCTGGGAATCGGGCAGAGAAACAAGCAGAGTGGGAAAACGAAGAGAAGGAGAAAGCAAAAGGAAGAAAAAAAAAAAAAAAAGCCAACAGCCAAAACGCAATTTCTTGTCTCCCTTCCTTTCTCTCCCCCATTTTTTTTAAAAAATCCAAAATAATAATAAAATTATTATTATTCTCTATATTTTTGCTCAAAATTATTCGACAATTGACTCTTCACCCTCCATTTGTTCTTTTTGTTACTTTATGTTTCCTCAGATCTGAACTTTCTGAGAAATTTTGGGACGAATTCGATTCGGCAAATCAGCGACGAAGTTAGAAAAAATCGCCGGTCCGATTCAAGAATCCGTATTGAAATGGATGATTTTCCAGGTTTATTAGCCAAAGATTTTGGGATCAAACCCCAAGGAAAGTCAGCCCCGATGGCACCTCCTAGATACCCTTCTTCTAGTGCCAATTTCTCTTCGGGTCCGAATTACGGGTTCCGATCCGATTTTACCCGATCCTCATCCGGCGACGCCAAATCGTCATCCAATTCCATTTTTGACGATCAGGATCGCGACGGGCTCTTGTCTAACGATGTCTATGGTGGACCCCCTAAGTACTCCTCCGAGTCTCGAGCTACAACCGCGCAAACTTCGTCGTTCGATTACGACTCCTTATTCAAGGACCCGAAGCCACCGGTTTTTGACAAGCCTGTTTACGATGATGATATTTTCGATGGATTGCCGGGGATCAAGACCTCTTCCGAAACATCGGCCGCTAAGTATGACAACGTGTTTCCGATCTCGGGGTCTAAGCAAAAGTCGGTGAAGAGCTCGCCGTTTGATGATCTGCTTGGTAGTCTGGGGAGGAAAGAGACGGAGCCCAAGGCGAAGAGTGAGAGAGTGAAACCGGAGAAAGATGCGCCTCTTTTTGATGATTTGCTTTCTGGTTTCGGTCGGAGTAGCTCTCCTGCATCTGCGAGGTATTTTCTGGTTTAGAAGGCTTTGATTTTGAAATAAATGAATATTTTACTACCTTTCTGTTATGTGTTGTTGTACTTGCATTGTTTTGCGGACACTTCAATTTAGGTATTAGTGCTGGCTTTCAATGTTAAAGATTATTGGCGATTTATGATATTTTGCACAAATGCTTAAATGTTTAATCTAGTCTGAGGTTCTGAGATTTGTTTGTGGTTTTGGCAGCTTAGGTTTCGGCATTTAGCATACAAATGGGGCAATGTATTCAATGAAATGAGCATATTTAAATACAAATTTTTGTAGGTTGGGGTCGTTAAATTAGTGCTTTTTTTTCCGTAAGACTTTAATTAAGGTTCTATTTTACTGTTTTTGTGTGTTCTAAATATTGGCAAGTTAAGCATTGGTCCAAAATATGTTCTATACTAGGTATATTTGTGTGAATCAGCTGTGGGATTTTCGTTCAATGACTAAAGAAGGCAATTTACTCGCAAATATCACTTAGTCGACTTGGAGGCTCTAGATCTATTTATCAATTAATGGCTCTTTATTGTCTCATTTCTCAACTGCATAGTCTTAGCTTTTTCCTTAAAGATTTAGTTCAATTGAAGGTGGACTTTACTGGATTTGATCAACACTGTGAATGATCTGATCTAAGTTTTGATCTCATGGAGTTTGATGCGCTGTAGAAATGTTGATAAGCTGTAATGAATTTGAAACAGATAATATGTTCTTTTTTTTTTACTGGGGAAGATATTCACGTTAGTTCAGTTGCTCATTTGAGGGAGCTTCTTATTTGGAGCAGCAACCACCATAGAAACCTACATTTAGGATCAGGATGGCTAGTAAGACCCGTGTTTTGGTATTTTTAATTACAGTACACTGCACATGTATATGGAATTGGACGTATTGCGCTCATCTCTCTCAGCCACTCCACCCGCACCAAGGAAAGGAAAAAAGAAGAAAATGAGTTCTTAAGTAGTTCTTAGTGAAATATTGCTTCAGGGTTCTGACTGCTTAAAGTTGTACTTTCCTTGCTGGGTATTTAGGTTCTAAATGAGAATGTATGTGTTTCTTAAACTCCCTTGTGAGGCTTTTTGCTCATTTGTACATCTGGCAGAGTCTCAAAATTGGTAATTAACATATAAAAGTCATCAGTTCATCGTTTCTCCAGATGACTCAGATTAGGTGCTTACTAATACCAAATTAGTTATATTCTTTTGTGGTGTATTATAACTAATCAGGTTTAAGGAGTTTTGAAGTAACTTGAGTTGATACCAAGTGTGTGTGTCAAACCAGGCTCACACTTGCATGAATATGATGTCTTATGAGGATATCACTGTAGCTTTATTAATCCCTCTTTGGTCATCTGCTGCCACAGTGATCTCTTTTGTTATTTGTTTATTTCTGTTTTCTCTTTCTCTTTTATGGTGGCAAAATTCCTTAGATTAAATTCATTGATTTGGTTTGATTGGGTAGGTAATGTTCTGTTGGTTATCAGATGTTGTTGGAAATAAGTTAGGATGATAGCTACTGCCAGATACTTTGAGATTTTCTTATGAGATAAACTTTTTTGAGTTTGGAAATCATTTGATAGTTAGAAACATGGATGTGGCTTTTACTATAAACTTTAGTAAATATCAATGATATCATTCTCATTGTTTTTACTTGTAAATATTTTAGCTGCAGCCAGACATGGCGGAGGTAAATAGACCATAGGTATAAAAACTCATCATCGTTACAATTGTGATTATGTTTAATTGGAAACTCTAAGTGCACCTTACTGCAAGCTTAAGTGTGAAGAAAGGGCACTAAAAGGGCTATATTTGTTTATGCTAAATTTGGACTCTAAACGCTTTATTCGAAGCTTGAGATCGTGTATCTTTCTTTTCAGGTCTATATTTGTAGTATGCAGTCTTTTTTGTCTCTTGTTCTTATAATACTTAGCTGTATCATGTAAATGTTAGCTGAAATCCTGCTCTGTCCTTCGGACAGGTCAACTTCAGAGGCTGGCCAGTCCCAGAAACCAGCCTCAAATTCAAGCAAGGCTGGCTCAAATTTGATGGAGAACCCTTTTGTTGTCTTAGAATCAACATCAGACCCTGCAGATTCGTCCTCAGGGTTGTTTACAGACCCCTCAGAAGTAATAAGCAAACTTAATGGATCTGGCAAGTCAAAAGTGGAGAGTTCATCTGGAAGTGGGGGAGTATTTGATGATATAGATCCTTTTGGTGGTCTTGGAAAATCTGTACCTCCTGTGTCATCTGAGTTCAATAAGAGAGGGAAGGATAGGAGCCCATTAAGAACTGCAAGTGGATCACAAACTCCTACCGGTAAAGAGCCAAATGATGAAGATCATGATTACCATACAAAGAAGAGGATGCCTTCTATGGACAATTTTCCAGTATCTCATCAACCTGTGTTTGACATGCCCAGTATGTCAACTGATTTTCATAGCTCTGTTGGTCGAGCTACTAGCCCTCCTCCTTACTCGAATGTTGGTTCTAATGAGACTAATTCCCAGGTAAATACAACTCCAAGATCTGAGGAGAACTTTGACACACCTGAAGATGTGTGGCTCACCGTATCAGAGATTCCCCTCTTTACACAACCGACTAGCGCTCCACCCCCTTCAAGACCCCCACCTCCAAGACCTCCACGAGTTTCAAGGTCAATGACAGGCTCTTTTTCTTCCACAAATGCAAAAAAGGTCAATGATTTTTCTTCTTTCCCAAACTCACCTCATAACTCACACAGTTCTCAGTCAGCTCGTGCTGCAGCAAGCAACTCTGTTACATCTCCATTTGATGAATTTGAAGATTTTGCAATGGGTAGGGCCTGGAATAATGTCGAACAGGCTGAACTTTTTCCTGGTGATGATTTTGAAACTAACTCTGTTGCTGCTGCTTCTGCTGCTGCCATGAAAGAGGCAATGGATAGAGCCGAGGCTAAATTTAGGCATGCCAAGGAAATGAGGGAGAGAGGGAATTTGAAGGCTGCTAGAAATAAAGAAGCTGGTCAAATGGATAAAGATGAGAGAGCTATGCAAGATGCTTTGGATAGAGAAGTTAGAGAAAAGCACGAGAGACTGGAGCGTGAGAGGCAAAGGGAGGAGGAAGAGAGAGAGCAAAGGAGACATGAATTGGAGAGGGAAAGGGAGGAGAAGGAGAGAGAACAAAGAAGGCTTGAGAAAGAGAAGGAGCGAGTTAGGGAGATGGAGAGGGAAAGGGAAAGGGCCAGACAAGCTGTTGAAAGGGCTACTAGGGAAGCTCGGGAAAGAGCAGCAACTGAAGCTCGTGCAAGAGCTGAAAGGGCTGCTGTTGAAAAGGCAGCCGCTGAGGCTCGAGAACGGGCAGAAAGGGCTGCAGTGCTGAGAGCACAAGCTGAAGCTCGTCAAAGGGCAGCTGCTGAGGCAAGAGAAAGAATGGAAAAAGTTGCTGCAGAAGCCAGAGAAAGGGAGGCGAGAGAGAGGGAAGCACGGGAGAGGACTGCAACAGCAAAAGTTGAAGCTGAAGAAAGGCTTAGAGCAGAAAGAGCTGCTGTGGAGAGGGCTGCTGCAGAGGCTCGAGAAAGAGCAGCTTCTTCTGCAAGGGCAAGCCAGCAAAAGAATGACAATGATCTTGAGTCCTTTTTTAATATGGGTTCTCGACCAAGCAGTGCACCAAGGCCAAGAGCTAACTCTTCAGTGAGAATCTATGACTGTCATACTGTATTCTTCTTCTGCTTTATGCTGTAGTGTCATTCTGTCTTGTTTCTAACCTGAGTTGCTTCTTTTCAGGATCCCCTGTTTGATGGACAAAACAAGGGAGGGCCTGAAGTAGCTAGGGGAACATCTGTAGGATCCTCATCTAGCATGAGGAAAGCTTCTTCAACTGCAAATATTGTTGATGATCTCAGTTCTATTTTTGGAGGTACTTACAAATTTGAGATGTAATGATCTTTGTAATTTGTAATATCATGTATGTGCTTCTCCATAAATGATAACTTACTAAACTACTTTGCTTGCTAAAGCTGCTGCATCTTCATCTGGAGAGTTCCAAGAGGCTGACGGGGAAACTGAAGAAAGACGAAGAGCTAGGTTGGAACGCCACCAAAGAACTCAGGAGCGTGCGGTATGTATACTGTGTTGCATTATTTCATTTTTCTTTTCCCTCCTGTCCAGTTATAAACTGCATTTTAGCCCTGGTATACTATTGAGTTTGCATATCCAGGCCAAAGCACTGGCTGAGAAAAATCAACGTGACCTTCAAGTGCAAAGGGAGCAAGCTGAGAGACATGTAAGTGGACGCTGTAAATATTTATTTTCTTGTTATTATTGTTCTTTCTATTCTTTTTCCTCATCTTTTTATTTTTTAAGGGTTTTTGTTTTCTTTTTTTTTTTTTTCAATGGAATCCAACTGTAAGGGACATTTGCTCTGGCCCCAGCCTACACTTTTTACAATGGCATTACATTTTATGAGTTGCAAGTGTTGTTTAGGTCTGAGGTTGTTTTTGCTTAATCTTCACTTCTTTAGTCTATCATCAGTTAGCGTCAAGGTTACTTGAAAAGTTGACTCTAGGATAGTTTAGACTTTCACTTAATTTTTAAACTAATACTAATATTTAAACGAAATGGGTGGCTTTGATTTATGGACCAAACTTACATGATAAAAAAAAGATAACTTTGATTTATGGACCAAACTTACATGATAAAAAAAAGATAACTAAGTATTTAATCCTATAATATAATTCTGTTGAGACTCCCAACAATGGTTTTACGGCTAAGTTAAAACTTGGTCAGGACTTTTTGTCTCAATTTTGTAACCCCAGTATCACCAGTGACATTAGTTAGGATTGGGGAATTAATATTTTATATGAACCTAAAATTATATTAACCTGTCCAACTAGCATTGCACCCAAATGATATGTTAATTTGGATTCAATTTGGCTTAAGTAATTGAATGTATAATGGCACATAATGCGTTGAAAGAAATAGTTACTGTCATCAAAGCATTATCCTGTATTAGACTATATGTCTGGAATATTACAAGTGTGCGTAAATGAGTGAGTTTCTACTTGTACATGCATACATCAGCAAAAGTTTTTCTTTTAATTATTGTACATCTAATATTGATCTATGGACTTACTTCAGAGAATTGCTGAAACACTAGATGTCGAGATCAAGAGATGGGCTGCTGGGAAAGAGGGAAATTTGCGTGCTCTGCTTTCAACATTGCAATATGTGTGTTATTACTTATTACCACCATTCTTGTTTGTTCTCTCTTGATTAGTGTTTTATGTAGGAACAGACTATATTGCATTCCCTGTGTTTATTTTTTTGCTGTATATCTTGCACAGTTCCCAATTTATTGCCTCAATTCTACCATCTGATTTTTTTTTTTTCTTTTTGAGAATTTTTGTAGATGCAATAGATTACTTTTAAGGCAAATTATGAGATATGTTGTGCAGGAAGACTAAGTGAGATGAATTCAAACATGAGAAGCTCCTTGTGATTGAACGCTAATCTTTTCCTAATAACCTCCTATTCAAGTTGCCAAACTCTTTACGTACTCTGCACTGCTGTTATGTCCAATATATACACTGTTCATCTGATGCTGATTTTAAGTAGAACTCAAAATTTAAAAGGATATTGGACTGACAATTTCAAGTGTCTAGCTGCAATTTTGTTATCTTTACTGTCTGATTTAGCAGACTTTTAGAATTAAGGATACTAAAGCATAAGAGTATGTCTTCAAAGCTTCTTCCCTTGCATGATGCCTACCATCTGGCTCTTGCAGTTTTGTTCTTCCAGTCAAGGAACTATTCTTGTGGCAGGCGTGCAATTCTTTATGGACATTAAACTTTCTTGAACCCCTTTAAGATAGTTCATTGTAGGGGGATGTCAAACTAGTTGTAAACATCTAATACACAGTCTTATATAATATGTGGGCATCCTTTGCAAAATTATTTTTAGTGCTGCTTATCTTTTAGTTAAATTTTGGTATCCTAGAAATCAGATAAACATCTTGTTAAACCTTTCATCATGCATTTGATAGTCTTTTCAGCTAATAATGCTGGCTATAGCAGTAATACTATTTAAAAAGGCAATGCAGATTCCAGCATGCTGTCTTTAACTTTTTCTTTTTCTGTCCATCTTGCTGGCACTTGCATCACAATTTGACATTCACAAGTGCTTGGAGTGCAAATACTTATTTGGGGATACTAATAGTGTTTCTAGCAGTTGAACTGCTTGAGAATAAGCTTTACTGTGCCTGCATGTACTTCCCTATTCCAACATTCATCTGAAGGTTTAATTTGTGCTCCCAACAGTTAAATTTATCGTGATGAAGACTGCTGTAATTTTGAAGTGGATGACAAGAAATCTTTTGAAATTTTCATAGTCGCTTCTTTTCATCATTTATGTTGATTTGAATGTCATATGGTACATATTTCATGACAATGTGATATTGTTACTGTTTTAACTAATTTGTCTCCTGAACCTGTTATGTGATGTTTAGGTTCTTTGGCCTGAATGTGGTTGGCAGCCTGTTTCTTTGACGGATTTGATTATTGCTGCCGCAGTTAAAAAGGCTTACAGAAAGGCTACTCTTTGCATCCATCCTGATAAAGTCCAGCAAAAAGGTGCCAATCTTCAACAGAAATATATTGCAGAGAAGGTGTTTGACTTGCTCAAGGTACTTTATAAATGTTTTCTCTCAACCACTTTATGGTTGTTGTGCTATTTTACTATCAGAGCCTCAATTGTACTGATTGCCATTTTTATTTGTCCCATTTTCTTAGATGGGAAATTGTGCTTGTATAATAATGTCACATTACTGCAGTATTTCTTTCTATCTTATTTTCGTTGTCACATTATTTTGTTTATATCTATGTTAAATAGGAAGCGTGGAACAAGTTCAATTCAGAGGAGCTTTTCTAAGTTTCGATTCGTTGATCATGTAGCTAAGAGATCCATCATTTGGTAAACTATGCCTTGGAGTTGAATGCATGACCGTTCCAGCAGCTATAATTTTCTTATTTGCTGCTGTTGTCTGCTTCGTGTTGATGATTCATTATATCAGCTGCTAAAGCAGGGCGTATGGTGCTGCTTCAAAGGCTTGTAAGGTATGCGAAGGGTGAAGTACTCTTCTTTTCTTCAGATCGCTGTACATTAATCTTCATCCAGCTGATGCGCATGGAAAGGAATCTCATTGTTAGAGTAGATTACATAATTCATCGACTTGGTCTAGTTCTATCGTCTGCCCCACATGCACAAGATGAGGGGATTTTTGTGTTGATTCTTTTTACAATATATATATATATATATATATATATATATATATATTTGTGTCCCCCTACCTTTTGTGGCAAATAGAGCTTTAAAATGTTGAGTGAATACCAATATGTTCTATTGATATCAAAACAATAATATGAGATGTGTATGATTGTTGAGATGGGCACTCGAAGGTGGATGATTTATGTATATCAATTTTTTCTATGACACGTACTGGTCTCTTGTTAAGCAAATCAAATTATTGCTGAACTGAAGTGATAACCGATCCCTGCAATTTCTATCTCTAAAAGCCAGCAGCAAAAATATCTATTTACTCACAGGATTATTCCAGTTCGAGTCATGATTGATGAAGTTTGAACCACTTATCGCCCTGTCGGTCAGTCAGACCTATCTGGGCAGCCCATTTTTCTCTTCATCGAAAATTCCCATTTGTGTCATTTCCTCCACTAATCATCAATTCATATTGTTTTATAAATGATGGTTCCAAAAATATTTTATACAAAGGTGGAAAAGGAGATTCCAGTATTTTTTGTTTTTTGATGAAATTTCATGCGGTGATTGTCTTCTTAAACTCGTGTGCAAGGGCAGCTAAAATAGAAGCACGACAAAAAGCGAATCAATTAGAATCAAAACCGAACATTATAGAATTAGAGATGCTTGATGCTTCCATGATCTATGGCAGCTGCAAATTCATATTGAATTTCAAGTGAATTATATACATAAAATCAATGGAATAGAGACTTTTGTTTTGGGGAATAGAGAATAAATAAAAGTCAATCAGAAAATGTAGAGAGACACTTAAAACAGATACGCCTGAAAACCTGAAACATATTTGATTTTTCAGTATGGACAAATAGGAAGGAAGCTATATGACAACCTCAAAGGTACTGCAATCCTGACAAAGGATGTACAATGCAGCTAAACCAAATCTAGTTTCCTGGCAAAACTTTGGTTTCAATCTGCACCCTCTATCAAAATGGTCGGCGTGAGCTTCGGCTAATCGATCCCTTAGCATATCCAAGTTAACCTGAAAAGAAGAGAAGAACGTGGAAAAGTCACAGGAAGTAACTTCATAAGGAACTTATTTAATTTGCTTTCTCATGTTCTTTAATAAATAATCTTGAGAGTAGAAGTAAACTGAATCATTCATTTCATGAAGAAATCAGCAACATAGCGTCAATGACTCAGTTAGCAAGCAACCATAATTACAGAAAACCGTAAGGCAGTACCAACAATTACAATACTGTGACAAGCCACATGGACACTTGCATTTTTCATTTTTTTCTTGAATGCTTCATTTCTTTTTGTCAAGGAAACAGATTACAGAGAAAGAAAAAAGCAAATATGTATTTATTTATTTATTTGGTTACAAGAACAAAATATAATTGGGAAATTGGTTGTTAGGAAAACTTTAACAGAAATAAAGAGAGCTTTTAGAGTTTGATACCTGGTGCAAATGAACTAGTCAAATCAAATGGTTGCTATGCAATGAAAATTGTATGAAAAACAGAAGACTAAATGGGAAAACCTCATCATCTCTGTCAAGCTTAAGTTTGCAAAGGCTGCAATAAATAAGTTGGTGGTTCTGTTGCAACTCTCCTTGCTTATAGATGGGGCACCAAATCTGCTTGTGCACCTAACATAAACATCAGAAAATCTTGTTGATTTCATTCATTTCAAAAAATTTATCGTAAGATGTTGAAAACTGACATTTGACAATGGTAGAAGCTCTGTGTAGAACCAAATACAAAACATGAAAAGCAATACTATGATACTAATACAGAAATTTCGTTATACTATGATACTAATACAGAAATTTCATTTAAGTAATCACAAAACGGTGGGTGGCAAAAAATTTACACTTATTAGACGTTCAGTAAGGGGTAATAATACTGTCACTTAGAAAAATCAGCATGAATGGTTTATTGTTGCTGTACCTGCTCATCATTCAATTGCAGATGCTCATAAACTGCACGAGCCAAGTATTCATCTTCTTCATCTTCCCAAGTTTCTATCCATTCTTCTGGTTCTGCAAGGAACTACAGTAAACATTTAAACTCAAAAAGGATGACTTGACCAATAAAACCTCCTACGTCATGCACTGCATGATCATTCACCCATTTACAGAAGACATGAACAACAATATGATGGCTTTACAAAAATCAATTCGGTGATTGTGGCTTTGTGAACAATGAGATGAAGAAATCCACTGATAAAAAATTGCTTTCATGGTGGTGAAAAATATTGGGTACAAGCTTGTAGACAAATAAAAGATGCATAAGTGAATAGATGGGAAGGAGAAACAGTGATGATGAGGTGAAGGAATATAGTGCTATATGTTACAGAACAGCAACAGCAAATCTAAGTTATAAGTAAGCCAAACTTTTGGCTGGAACTTGGATGTATATTTTAGGTATTACATTGTCCTGCTCCCTTCTTCTCGGAACAGGCCTGAAACATTTTGTTTAAGAGTGTGACTATTTATTACCTTTAACAGCTGATTCTGTCCTGAGATACTGGTAAAATATTTGTTGCATTTCTAACAATATCCCTTCGCATTCACCTTGATGTGCATCTCGAAGGCCATTGTATTCCCATAATTCATCAGTGGCTTTGGATACAGAATTCGAGTTTTCCAAACAGTTACCTAGAGATAAGTCTTTTAAGTTTTTTAAGTTCATTGGTAACTATATCCTGAAAGGCAGATTTGATGAACTCCTGAAACCAGAGAACGTTATTAAATGAGTGATGTACTAATAAACTCACTGCATGAATTTAATCAAGAGAAGCAGAAATACAGCCAACCAAGGAAAAAAAAAAAAACACCAAATTCAAAGCGCCCACAAATATTATATGCACCAAAAGAACGTGTAAAAGAAAACTTTACCAGGCTATTTTATCAAGGGAAGCTGACAATTACAAATGCAGGGATCAAGGAACGTGATAACATCACTATTATCGAATAACTAGGAACCTAAACCTTATATTCCAAGTTCAAGGTACCCTGATATGCAGCAAAGAGGGGACTTTTGCCAAACACCATATCCCAAAGCAATAAAGATATGGACATATAACCCAAAGTAGTTACAAGGACCAAATTTTTATATAGACAATAGCAGCAATAGAGTTTAGATACAAAAACTAGAAAAAAAAAAAAAAGAGGCAGCTTTAATGAAAATAGAGAACCTTGTGATTAAGAGATTGGGCCGCAGGCAACCTCAATTTCCAAAGCAAACGAGTCCGGTCTTCTCGTACCCTTTTGTAACAATTTTCTCTCAACTGCACTTCAACCGCAATTTGAACAAATTCATCATTTTCAACAGAATATTTTGCAAAATTATTGAAAAACAAAAAACAAAAAAAACAAAACGAAAGAGGAATAAACCAGAAACTTGAGCAGAAAAAAAGGAAAGGAAATATTATGAGAAAGATAGCTGAAAACCCATAATTATTTGCTAGAAAGTGAGACGAACCTTGTCTGTCCAAAAGGAGTAATTGTTGAAACGGGGATGGGTTTTAAGGGAATGTCGTTTGATACTTGGGCAGTTATCTTCCATTGAGTCCCCTGCTTTTCAGCTACCTCGAAGAGGGCTAGAGGGAAAATCAACAGGACAGCTAAATTCTGGAGCAGAGAGAGAATGGGGGAGGTTCAATCAGTCAATCGTTGTGAAGAAACTCAGGTTCGTTGTTGGTGAAGAACTCAATACAGTTGGCGCCTTTGTGGCGGTGGGTTTAGACTGGGCCTGACCCCGAGTTCGCCCAAATTTAATTCTATGGCCCAAACACCCCAGCCGTTGTTTGTTAGCCCTAAAGCCTAAACCAACCCCTCACGGCTCCCCCGGCTTGGATTCTAGAAATGACGGCGTGGGATGAGAAAACAAGCCTAGCCACAGAGCCAGATAGAGGGGATTGTGAAGGAAAAGATATTTTTACGAAAAGAAAAGTGTAAAATTAAAAATCCACCCTCAGAAATTGATCAAATTCCCAAGCCCCGAATTAGAAAAAAAGATGATAAAACCCAAAACCCTACTGGCAGTTTCTAAAATCTTTGGCACTCTCTCATCTCTTAGCCCAACCCTCCCTATTTCTTGTTTCTTTTTCTTCTTCACTTCATATCTCTCTCTCTCTCGTTTCCTACAAACTAGTAAGTATTTCCTTCTTCTTCTTCTTCTTCTTCTTCTTCTTCTCTCACGCACATAACGGCCGCTTTATGCATGTAATTGTATTTTATTATTATCTGCAATCCTACGGGTTAACCCATTTGGGCTTTTGCACTTCACTGTTTTCTCTTTTATATGTGACTCTTTGAGAGGAATTCAAATCATGGGGAGTTTCTTTGTTCTGAACAAGAAACGGGAAGCAAATTTGCTTCCAGGGAAATGGGTGCTTTTTTTTCCTCATTTAATTGGCGATGATAATGATATCTGTTAACAATCTTCCATTTGTTCTTTTACATGATTTTTTTATGATGATTGTACTCAGTAGTAGTTACCTGCCACGGCTGTTGGAATCCTTTAATTCTTTTGGGTGGGTAGAGGGGGTAATTTAGTCTGTCTTTTTCTGTTGTTGAATGGTTGTTCTCTGTTTGGAATTCGCAGTATGTTTAATATGGCTCGAGTTTCCTGCTTTTCTGAATTTGAATTAAGTTAGAGTAATCGATTTGAAGGCTACGAGAACGTGCTGGAAATGAAGAGGAAATCTTCACTTCAACTTCAAGCTCTTGAGAGTTTCTATGAAGGTTTGTGTGTGTGGCTCTGGATACTTTCTCTTTTAGTATTAAAAATTACAAAAAAAAAAGAAGACCTGCTGCGTTCATAGCGGTATTGTTTAGTTAAAATTTCCAATTAATTTTTAAGATTATTTCTTAAAATATATTGAATTTAACCTAAAACCTCCTTCCGGAGTGCGTGCCAGACATGGCTTTAATAGTTAGAGATTTTCTTCCATGAATCCGGCTGACTGGTTTGGGTACTGCATGACCCTATATTGCTATTTCTTATTTCTTTTATCATGTGAAGCAGATGTAAAATATCCTACGCAGAGGGAGATGGAAGGCTATGCTGCAGCTTTAGGATTAACTTTGAAGCAGGTCAAGGGATGGTTTGTTGAGAAGAGGAGAAGGGATAAAAGGGATAATGGAATTATAATACCTATCCATTCTATGGAAAAACTCCCTGCTCCTAAAGAAAGGAATGCTGCAGGCATTTCTGCTGTTAGAAAGAATCCTAAAGGACGGGATCTTTTGGTTCATAATAGGTCAAACAGTGGTGCTGTATTATATTCAAGATATAAAAGCATATTCAGTGAAAACAGGTTTGGCAAGAAAAAGAAGAAAATACTTCTTCCTCAGGATTTGTTATCTCCACAGTACATTCTAAAGAAGGTATTTCGCAAGGATGGTCCTCCACTTGGTGTGGAATTTGACTCTCTTCCTTCTCGGTCTTTTTTCCACTGCAAAGGTATACTATTAGAAGCCCGTAGCCTTGTTGCTTTAGTGGATATATGATGCTATTTAATGATGGTTGTTATTCTTTTGATCCCTTAATTTTGTGGTTTTGCTGCGGATCAAAATTATGCTGGAAACCTCATTTTTTTTCTGGTGCTCATCAAATGAGCTTGGTCAAGGTTGCTATTTTCCTAAGATGTAAAGAAGTAATTTTCCTTGTTAAATGTTGTACCATTTAACAGGTGAAATACAGCTTTAACTAGTGAATATTTGAATTTTTACTTGTTCTCATTGTTTCTGTTTTAATCTTAATCTACATATCTCAGACTTGTGAGTAAGTGTCAGGCATGGGTTTTTGTCCAACATGGGTGCATTGAAATTTTTTAAAGCTTTTCCCTATTTGGAAGGTCAAAATTGCATACACATGTCCACATCAATAAGATGTTTGATAAGTGTCTGACAAGGGTACTTGACGAAGACCGAAGGGTTGGAATAACATAGCTTGTTATTGTTTGATTTATTCTTTGATTTTACCTTTTTGAGCATTCTTTGTTGTTCAGACTGTATTTGATGCAAATAAACTTACTCATACTTTTACTATATTTTGGTTCTAAAGATTCTCATCCTGCTGATCAAGATTGCCAAAGAGGAGCAACCAAAAGGAGAAAGGTATCGAGAATGTTTTCAAGATGTTCATCTTCAGTTGCTAACTCCTGTTTCCTTACTTCTTTTACTTTTGCTTCTTGTTTTTAAGGTTTCTGAGTTTACCACCCTAGACTATCAGAACAACAGTAACGAAAGTGCCCCAATGAAGAAACATGGTATTGGAAAAGGTTTGATGACAGTTTGGAGGGTTGTGAACCCTGAGGGTGGAAATATTCCTACTGGTGTTGATTTTTCTAATCATGAAATTGTTCCTCAAACATCTAGTCCTACAGTGCAAAAGCAACCACCTCGGAACAAAAGACGGCAGCCATTAGTATCTCTAATGGTTAGTTATTAGTTTTTTCTCTCACAAGATTTTGTGTTGACTTTCTTTTTTAATCTTCCTAGAAAACCTTTTGTTTTAGTTTTTTTAATCTTCCCTGAAAACCCAGGGTTCTGCTTGATGGTTGATCATTTCCTAGATTTATCTTAATGGTTTTATGTAGAAAAGTGCTGACTGTAACTTGCCATTCCAGAAACAGAGAAGCTTGAAAAAGAAGTTACAGGAAAAGAGGAAGCCCTCCATTAAAAGGAGAGAGGTACTTATGGTCTTTTCTACCACATTTTTGTGTTTTAATCTTAAATGCTTTATAACTACTGTATTTATGTTCACTTGCTTGTTTTATGCCAGGTGCAATCTAACAAAGATGACAATCACAGGCAACCACACAAAGAAAAATGTGACCTTGCTTTGGAAGGAAGTATATCTAATGAACTTCTTGATCAACTTGCGATGCTAGTTGATGATGAAGAGTTGGAGTTGAGGGAGTTACAAGCCGGACCAAATCCATTAACATGCACAGATCATCTTGGTACTAATGGAGTGCTTGGTTGCTCCCTTTGCAAAGGTTGGCTTAGTAGTTCATGTTATATATTTAAGAATACTTGAGCAAGTTTTTCCATCTTATTTGTAAAATTTATATCATTTGCATATGTAAGGTATTTCTCTGGAGTTCTAAATGGAATTTGTTTATGGTTTCCCAGATTTGCTGGCTAAGTTTCCACCAAACTCGGTTAAGATGAAGCAACCATTTAGTATGCAACCCTGGGATTCATCTCCAGAAACTGTCAAAAAACTGTTTAAGGTGTCTTTAATGCCTAAAGTTTGTTCATGTTGTTCTTCATTCAGTTTTTTGGCAAAAGCCAATTTATCATGCATGAAATATGCGCTACATCTTCTTTTTTTCTTGTGTTCCTATCCTCTAAAACATTCTTGATATTACTTTTCTGAAAGAATTTTTACTCTTAAAGAGTGCTTCTGGTGGCCGCTGTCTTGCTTCTTATGTGGAATTTAGTGGTGGCAGCATGTTATGAATCATCTGTTCTTCTATTTCTCTTAATTGTCTTGCTTAAGTGTTGTTTGAATTTCTTTTGCAGGTTTTCCATTTCCTGTATACCTATTCAGTAACACTTGACATATGCTCGTTTGCACTTGATGAGTTTGCTCAAGCATTTCATGATAAGGTTATCTCTCATCTTTATTTTACCATATACTTCATCAAATCTTTAACTTGGCCTCTTTTTTTGTCCTTCTAAACATGTATATACATTACAGGATTCCTTGCTACTTGGGAAAATTCACGTTTCCCTTCTCAAGCTTCTTTTGTGTGATATTGAAGCAGAGCTGAGTGCTTCACTTTTACCTCATTTTAGCTTGTCTTGCAAGTTTCTTGCTCTTCTTCACTCGGTGAGTAATAACCATGCAGGTTTACATAAATGCATGTTTGCATATGTGTTTGTGAGCTTGCAAGTGTTGTTCTGTGTAGGATGTCCTCCTTTTCTGATTTGTTTTAATTATGTGCCAGATGATTGAGGTGGTCTTGCTGGTTGCTGGGGTATGAATAGGATAAACAAACCTTCTTGGACATGATTTTAGATTTTGCTGGCCCATTGATATATATAATATTGTTTATAGTGCTTTTGAAAGATGTTCCACAGTGGTTACTCCCCCCCCCCCCCCTACCAAGAAATAAGGCTATATTCAATGCTTAGTTGACAAGAAAATCAATCCATCCAAAATGAATAACTCGTCAGACAAAATCCATTGTTTAAAGAAGTTTGTTGCTTGATTTACATTTCACTTAAATAAGACATTCTGTCATTGATCAAGAATGATATGACAATAAGTTAACCTATTGTATTTTTTTTTTTTTTTTTGAGTGGACAAGCCCTTGCTTTTATTTCTTTGTTTATTAAGGCTGTTGGTCATGTTGCACATGATAATATATTAAAAACAACACGTATTCACTGACTTAGCTGGGCCTGATACCCTCGTCTTGTTTCCTCCTGTGTGTTGACTGAAAGCATAACATAGCTTAAATGAAGCCTCAAACCAGAGCCTGGGTATGTTTAAGTGGATATGATATGTGTTAGCAAAGTACATACATATGCCAAAAAAAAAAAAAAGAATAACAAAGGAAGATGCATGTGTCAGTCGCGGAACACATTTATATTGAAATGCTTCCTATAATCATATATGCATGCATCACGTAACTCTTTGTAAAGCTTTATTTTGACAGTTGATAACCTTTCCAAAAAAATCCTAGGATGTTGAGCTATTGAATTGTCGTAGGGTTTTGGGACCTCTATGCCCTTGCTAAAAATAGGGATATGATTGTTTTCCTTTAAATTATCAGGTAGAGAACCAGGAATTTTTGGTCAAGTTCTGGAAGACATCATTAAACCCTCTGACATGGACAGAAATACTGCGTCAAGTTTTAGTTGCAGCTGGCT